TAAAAGCGCTCTAATAAAAAATGGTAATCCATTATTATTTTTATATTTATATTTTGAAAACAATGGATGGATGGATGGATGCATGGATGCACAAGAATAACATTATTTTTTTTAAACAAAAAAGGACTGAGTTAGGACAAACAAAACAGCAAATCAAAAACTAAAGGCTGTGAGTCCATTATTAATAACGTAATGAAAAAGTACAAATCAAACAATGTGTATAAAAGGAACAAAAATACCAAAAATGCCAAATAAAAACATAGCACTTTTTAACACAGCAGGTCGACCACCCTATTGTACAGAGACATCGGGCATGTCCAGCTCCCGTATATACCTGTAGAAGGGGTTCCACATCTTGTGGAATGTCCCCAGGGAGCCCCTCACTATGCACCTTATCTAACCCCTAACCTCATACCTTCCCTTCTAAAAGGGTTAAATTAATAATCTTTTTTCTCAAAGTAATGATAAACCTGTGAGTTGGATGTAAAAAAGTCAGAATCAATATAGATGTTTTTATTTCAAAGTAAATTCAGATTGAACATAGTAAAACAATGTTAATTATTGTGTCCGTCCAAAAATAAAACATTACTTATAGTGAAGACCACCCTTGAATGATGGGATGGTAGACTAAAAGCTTTAGGAATCCAAAGTACAACATATAATAAGTACCCTGTATCAAAATTGCTGCAAAACAAGAGAAATGTAACCTTTAAGAGAGATTTAGCAAAAGAAACCCATATCTGGGGTCATTTGGGTTGATTTGACATATCTCTGACCCCCCTTGGTCGATTTTGATGATTGACATTAAATGGAATCGAAGGAGGTTCCACATACACACGCGTTACCAAATAAGGAGTGAGAGTGACGCGTAGCCAGAATACCCAAAACAGGAAGCTGTCATACACTCCGGAAGCTATCATTAGCAGCTAATATGAAAAGTCCGTTTTTGACATAAAAATTGAATTATGGATTATCAAAAAAAAATCGTGTTTGGCTACCTAAAGCTCTGTGGAACAAGTCAGACACCTCTTTACAAATGTCGCTCTAGAATAAATTTCTGGGTGTACTCTCAAGTATTGTCCTCTCTTTGGTATGTTCGACGAGTTAGACATTCTATAAAATTTACATCGACCTGTAAATCTAAGTGTGTAATTTTGGGTATGTCCTCTGTTTGTATGTCGACGAGTCAAGACATTCTTTATAAAAAATGTGATTTCCCTGTAAATTGTTAAGTGTAACTCTCAAGTATGTCCTCTCTTGGTAATACCGACGAGTCAGACACCTGTTTAGTAAATGTGTCATATTGTCAAAATTGATTTGTGTACTCTGAGGTATGCCCTCTCTTTGGTCTGTCAATCAGTCAACATTTTTTAGTAAATGTTACTCCTACATCTAATTGGGGCAAGAACTTTGACAGAGTCCCGTAAAGATTTTACATTATTTGATTACTTAAACAGTATGAGTTGAATTGCCCTTCTTTGAGTCGTTTGACTTCCTATACTTGGTAAAAATGTTTTGTTTGTGTTCAGAGTGTTTTCGCAGATTTACTCGGGACTCGCTTTTTTTAAGATGCGTGAATCGTGTTTTGAGATCCATATTTATTGAAATAATGAATAGCCTAGACGTGTTTGTTCGAAACAATCGTTCGACTATAAGGTGTCTAAGGTATTGGGAATTCATAGTAGTGACTCTTGCTAGTCTTGGCGCCTTTCCCCTTCGTTTTGCTC